AAGGGCTGGAGAGTTGGCTCAGAGGTTAAGAGCACTGACTGTTCTTCCAGAGGTCCTGAGTTCAATTCCCAGAAACCACATGGTGGCTCACAACCATCTGTAATGAGATCTGGGGCCCTCTTCTTGCGTGAAGGCAGAACACTGTATACATAATAAATAAATAAATAAATAAATAAATAAATAAAATCTTTTTAAAAAGTAAGAATTTGTATTAGTGGAAAGATAGAAACACACAGATAGCCCAGCAACACTATCTTCTCACATCTACTCATGTCACTGATAACTATCACACAGCACAAACTTTGTGGCTCACATACCAATGTTGAAAAATAAACTAAATTTTTAATTAAGTAAATAAATACAGCAAAACAATCAACACAATAAAGAAATCCATCACACTATATCATTAATGTTTAAAAAAAAAGTTTTCAAATGACTCAAATGACTATTCAAATAGAAATTCCACAGACTTTTTTAAAAGAAAGATTATAGTCAATTAGGGAGAAATGGCATAACTAGAAAGATATTCTCTCATGACTTTGAAGCCCCAGGGAACTCTACTCCTACCCACATACCTTGGCAGATAATCGCTCGTCGATAGGAAGAGAAACTCCCAGAGTAGATGGGTCTGTTTCACCCGGAGATAGAAAATTTTTCTGTGTGTATACACATTAAAACTATGTTATCCCATTGCTCTGGTACATTTCAAAGTGTCTTTAGGGTATATATTCTAAACTGCTACATAATGCACAGCAGAGGTTGCAATGGGGATGAAGTCAGACATTGTCTAGAAAGCACACCGAAAGTGACTGAAAAGAATCCCTTCAAATCAACTTCGGGAAGGAGAGGCTCAAGCTTTAACTCAGATGGCAGCACAAATACATCATTATAATGATGAAATGGGTCAATTTTTTCCAATTTATATTCCTCTAGTGTAGATGGAGGTTCTTCACTATTTTAACTTCCTCACCGGTATCTTTATGAATAGCTGCAATGTTTGTTTTGTTGTTTGCTGTAGTTACCTAAGCCAATATATGCACAAAATCCCAAAGAGTAAACTGTGAATGCTGTTGCTATGTGTCCCTCCACTCATGTCCACTGGGCACTGGCGTAGCATCAGTGAGCATTTTTGAGTATCACCCTGGGCAGCTACGGACCTAAAGCTCAAACTTCTACAACTAATAGCCACTATTACAAGGCAAAAGAACAAAAACAGAAATGAAAAGGGGGATATAACAATGGACACTGAGGAAATCCAGAGAATCTTCAGGCCATACTTTGAAAACCTGTACTCCACAAAATTCAAAAATTTAAAGGAAAAGGACAATTTTCTGGATAGATATCACTTACAAAAATTAAATCAAGAACAGATAAGCAATTTAAATAGACCTATAACCCCTAATGAAATAGAAGCAGTCATCAAAAGTCTCCCAACCAGGGCCAGATGGTTTCAATACACAATTCTACGAGAAATCCAAAGGAGAGTTAATACCAGTACTCCTCAAACTGTTCCAAACAATAGAAGCAGAAGGGTCATTACCAAACAATTACCTTGGTATCCAAGCCACACAAAGACACACAATATAGACCAATAACCCTCATGAACATTGATGCAAAAATACTCAATAAAATACTGGCAAATCGAATCTAAAAACACATCAGAAAAATCATCCACCATGATCAAGTAGGCTTCATCCCAGGGATGCAGGGATGGTTCAACATATGAAAATCTATTAATGTAATCCACCATATAAACAAACTGCAAAAGAAAAAGCACATGATCATCTCATT